TGCAGAGTCTCAGAGAATCTGTCAAGTCCTGCTCTGACAGCGGATGACGATGTCTCCAGCATGACCCAATGAGACATGCAGCAGTCTGACGTCACTGTGGAGCGCACTGCTACAGCAGAAGCAGCAAACAGAGCCAGGAAGACTGCTTTAAAGATCCCACCACTCAACAATCAAGCACAACGACAGAGAAAAATCACTGTGACAGAGGTTTGGAGGAGATCCCCAAAGCAGTCAACCTATTACCACAGTCTCCTTCATTATGGGAGAAAACCCAAAAAATGCTTCACTGCTTGATTAGCCACAGAAGTGCCACAGGAAACAGGAAGTGCATCATGCAGAAAATCTAAAAACACCTGCAACCTCAATCTTGGACGGCAGACTCGTGCACTCAGCGATGACATCACAGTGACAGAGACACGCCTCCTGCTACAAACTACACCCCTGTGTCTGCATCAGCACCGAAGCAGGTTTAAATCAGAATCATCAGGAAACTCTAAGGAAATTATATGGGTTACAGTTGCTCCAAGACAGCAACAATAAAAGACTAAACTAATTAAATAATACAATATGTTACAGAAGTTGCAAATTTAAGAAATAGCACTAATATGCAAATCACTCAATTATAAATATCAAGAATATTACATTAAATATTACATTATTGAAGCACAGTTCTTTCCACGTCGTGTTTAAATTACAGATTTACGTTCGTAACTATGAATTCCTACTAAGACTAAAACCTTCAGTAGTATACTTACTAGCATCATACAGACTCACCTCACTTCCTACACTGCACACAATGAGGAAAACCTCCAACAAACAACACGAGTGATTACCACGAAAACCTCCGGGGCTCAGGTGCACTCGTGCTCTCAGACAGACACCGAGAAAAAGCTTCATGACATCAAACATTTCCTCCTTTGTAGCTTTAAATCCAAAGTGAAGCTGAATCTGAGCGGTCTGAAGCAAAGTTCAAAAAATGTTCAGGCCTGCTTCCAAAAACCATCACAACGACGCCATCTAATGGTGAAAGCAGCCACTTTAAACCCCTCTGACAGGCCAGCCGACTCACCTGAGGCAGACGCAAAGCATCCTGGGATGTGAGGCGACCAAATGGTGCTGTAGATGACCCCTTCATGACCTCTGAGGGTGGTCAGCGATGGACTGAGAGCAGGGTCCCACTGACGGAGATAAAACTAACATGAAGAAGACAGAACGCAGATGGAGAGGGGAAGAAAGGAGAAACTTTCATCTTACCACTTTCACCGTTTGATCCCACGATCCAGAAACTATCAGGCTTTCTCCTCGAGTCTGACTCCAGTCCACAGCGTACACCTGCACACACGTCACAGTCAGAACACCTGTATGTGTGTCTGTGTGTGAGCATGTGTGAGCATGTGTGCGCTACCTCCTGTGTGTGTTCTTTGGCCACCCTCAGTGGAGCACTGTGATTGGCTGTATCCCACAGCTGCAGGCTGCCATCGCCGCCGCCTGCCACCAAAACGTGCTCATTAGCTTCACTCCATGCCACGTCGAACAGGCCGTCACCCCACTCCCAGCTGAGACACACACACACACGAGGACGACATAAAAAACTTCATCTTTGACCTTTGACTGCATTCTTGTTTCCTTTATTCGACTTTAAAGGATTATTTCCGGGATTTTTAATGGTGTTGTGAAGCAGTCGCCTCCAGCACGGAGCTATGCAGCTTCTGACCGAACAAGCAGAAAAGTAAACTTCCTGAAAAAACAGCTAGACTATTCTCACTCCTTTTCATTTTGCCACAGAGTTCTCTACATCAGCCCGAAGCCTTTTCTTCTGAAACGGTGACTTTAACTGATAGAACAGAAGGAGACAAACATGATTTTTGGGTCCATCATCACTGACGCCTCACAGGACGACCAGCGATGCTGGTTTTGTTTTTGCCCCCTCTCTGTGTTTCAGTCTTCCCCAGATGTGGAGTCAACAACGTCAGACACGGCACACTTCACACAAAGATTTCATATCTACTGAATAATCACACATGCGTCATCATTCAGAATGCAGATGAGGAGGAATGTGACTTCTACTGATTTGTATATATCATCTGCATTTTTATTATTTTCTGAGTTTTTAGACCATGTCACTCTCTCAGTGGAAGTCCTGGAAGTCAGTGGAAGTCACATAAAACCAGGGGTTTCTATCTGGTTTCCTCGCAGTCTGATAATAATCTGATCTGTGCTGAAATTAGATGAAACCGAGCCCTAAACCTCCTGCAACATCTTATAATCATCATCTGTAAGCATAAAGGACAAAAACAGATGTTAGAGAGATGAGGAAACAGATGTTACCTTCTCACTAAGGTGAGCCCGGTCTCGGTCTGATCCAGGACCAGCAGTGTGCTGCAGCCTGTACACACACAGACAGAGTGGATGGGAATGAGAAAGCTGACTCTTTAAAAACAGCTGAAACGCACAGATCTGTGTTTTGGTGTGAAAACCGCGTGATGCTCGTCGTCATCGGGTCTGTTCAGCTCGCTGAGGTCGACGTCCAGAAACAAACAGCACGTATTATTTTATTTTATAATATTTATACGGATCAAAAGTCAGGAAACAGAAGTGATGAAGAGCCACAAACTGGAGTTCCTCTAACGTCCGCACGAGGCTCCAGCAGTGAGCCGGAACCAGGGGCTTTTCTTATCACATCCAGGTGTGTTCTCCAAACTGTGACCACTGAACTTTACTGACCTGCTATCCCGTAGTACTGTGAGGCAGCACAGGCCACTCTGCTGGGGATATACGGAGACACTTCCACTGCGTAACCATGACGGGCCGGACTGCGAAACACCTTCACCGTCATCATCGTCACATACAAAGAAACCCTGATGGACAGAAAGGTTTAAAAAGTCTGGAAAGATGACACCGACTATTTACTACAGCATGTACTGTTACTTTGAAGCTTTTTTATGACTCTCAGGCGAAATACTTTAGAAAATATGACAATTAATGTGCACAAAACTTGTAAGACGCCAAATTTCCTAACAAACATTCAGTGTATTTACATTCACAGTGGGACGGGGGTCGGTTTTCTAAACACGTTTTTCACACACGTATTAATCTTTCTCTCGTTCGTCCTCCAGCAGGTGCGATAGGGTCTTAATTAAAACTTGGGGATTCAGGTTAACGCGGTCCACGTTTGCGCTCTGAACCCGCCCTGTTGTGTTTTTACAAATAATCCGTGGGGTTCAGAGATGTGAAGCCCTTAGTCTGTTAATCTTTTCACACGTAAGAAGTCCGCGGGACTAAAGTAACGTTTTATGACTCAGACCGTGTCCGATCAGCACCTGCTCTTGTGTGGTCTGCAGGTGACAGAGTGACTTCACGGACCCTGATCACATTTAAATTGAAAATGGCTGTCACGTGACTCACAGAAACCAGGTCGTCTCGTGGGATCGAGAGAAAAAAAAGCTTCAAAACTTCAGAGACCCACAGAAGAAGCTCCCGCTGCTCCTGCTGCTCTTCTCACTCCACTCACTGCTCCTCCACTTCCGTGTTTTGATCAGCTGACTCCGGATTGAACGTGCTTATACTTGTAGTTGTGCAGTTCGCCGCCAGGTGGAGACATTTCTTTACCTTAAAACCAACAAGTGCGCTTATTAGAAATTATAATTCTTTAAAAACACGACATTCTGGTAAATGAAGCTAGACAGGTAACATTACTTACATTTGTAAAAAATTATTTTCATTTTTAAATTTAAGAAAAGCTTCATAAATAACTGGAAAACTTCATATTTTATTCAGTATAATTTTCTATTAAATGACATTTTTGGATTATTTCCTTACGAGATGGAGCATCTGCACATTCACGGAAGGAGTAATGGTCACTGCTTTTGTGCTTCGTGCAGTTAAAATATTAGTTTTCATTTCCTCAGAAATGACCAAAGATTATTTTTATTTTTAAAACAGCAATTTTCTGGAAACTGACTTCAAACTGTGTTCAGAGTCTGTGCGTGGTGAAATGTAAGGTGAAATGTTCACAGCAGCACACTAAGAGCTCTTTTCAGTCAGAAATCAGGTTTTAATCGGCTCCTCCTGAAGCTCACTTTATGAGTGGTGCAATAATATTTGCAGCAGTCTGCTCAGATGTTTGCATATGAAGTTCACTCTAAGCATCACTCAGCTGTGAACATTCACTTTGAAATAAAAACACAAATGACTGCAAGAAGAGTTTGGTTTTTTTTTTTAAACAAAAAACAAAAACAGCACAAACAAAGAAAAATAAAATCAGCTGCAGGATTCTGAAACATAAAAAATGTTCCAACTCAGGACTGAATAACATGGGAGAGTAGTGAACACAAACCAGAGTGAAAGGAATCGTTTGCTGAAGCGTTCAATGCTATCTGGGAAAAATCACGCTCTTATGATTGTTTAGAAATACAGACAGAAACTTTTCTGTAATACAAAATGTGCTTTTCTGCATCACACATGGAGCATTGCGCTCAGAACACATAACCAAAGACGCTGTGGCCTCACACTCTCACAGCCAGGAGGAAACTTTGATTGCAACCACAGCTCCATAAATACTGCGTCACCATGGAAACCAGGAGAAAGCCACAACTGGTTACCTGTAACAGCTACAAATATTATTTACAATTTCATTGATCATCACTGAATTCCTGATTCAGAGGAGAGGTCAACATCAGTAAAGCAAAGATCACACTTTGGTCTCAGTGTGACCGGCCTTTCAAAATAAAAGTACATAAAATACATTGAGTGGTGTTAACAGTCTGAGATGAGCTCAGAGGAACACGAACCAACACGTCTCTGTTTGAGCTTCGCGTCATTCAAAAGTCATAAAAGATCCTTGTTCACGTCAGATAAAGAAGTATTTTGGTCGGGGACAGAGAAGAGGAGGAAAAGTGTGTCTGCACTGCTGGAGTGCACCACCCGCCCTGACGTAGCGTGTGACACTTTTGGACCACAAACTTAACAACACAGTAATTAATTTGCTACAAAGATCTTAAGTGAGTATGAACGCCAACGGTGCTCGATCACAGACTCATCTTAGCTCTGTGATCAACTGACAGCTGGACAAACGCAGACCGTCAGAGAACAGGCGTCTGCTTACTGTCCTCGGCTGCGCTGTTTGACCGTCTGAGAAAGACGACAGAATAAATACTCTGTATTCAGATGTAGGCTTCATCTACAAAGGTTCAAATTTTAGACACTTTAGCATCAAATCACCACTTTGACACAAGCCGATGAAGTTGTTTTACATCTGCAGACGGTCATCTTGCAGGAATAAAGTCGGTCATGAAAAACTGTTTCTGGACAGATTCTTGTGTCCAGACTTAATGTAGTGTAAAGCGCTTTGGGGTCCTTAAGGACTAGAAAAGCGCTATACAAATGCAGGCCATTTACCATTTACCATTTGTGAGAAATCTAAACTTTAGAAAGTCTCCTGCTGCTGAACACGGATGTGCACGTGCACAGAGTCCTCTGTGCAGAAGTTTAAGTAGTCAGACATCAACACTGAAGCGTGGCGTTAACCCTGCAGTGACCCCGATGTGCCCGAAGTCCGGCTTTGTGCAGACATCCGTTTAGTCATCGATGAAAACAGAAACCCACGATCTGGAGTCATCGGTCAGGGACAGACCATCAAATCTGGAGCTACCTGAATCACCTGTAAGAAGAGTCGGCACGTGTGGAGTCTGCAGGGAGGATTCAGTCCTTCCCCTTTGAACGAGCTTCCATCAAAACGTTCGTGGGCTCACTGGAACTTTGTGGCGCCAAACTCGGCCTCGTGCAGAAACTGCTGCATCTTGGTTCGGACCCATGACTGTTTCTCTGCTGTCAGTCTCCTCATAGCCGGAGCCAGGCTCAGCAGGAACAGCGTCACGTCGTCCCTCTGCTCCATGTCACGCTCCCTCTGCGCATCCCTGGCTTCTGTCTTCATCAGGAATTCCTCCAGCAGGCCGTCGACGCTCTTCCTCTTTGGCCGGAGCAGTCTGGGAGAAGCGGGGCGGCGCTCTTCCTCCACCTCCTCCTCCTCATCGTCCGTTTGGACGAGCAGCTCGTCCACGTCGCCTTCCGGCTCCTCTGTCTTCAGCTGGTTCAGCCGCGCCACGGTCCAGGACAGCGGCAGGCTGCGATGATGACTCTGCGGATCCTGCTGCAGAAGAGGGGTCTGCGAGGAAGAGTGTGACGAAGCTAAGGTCGTAGCAAGAGATGTCACCGAGTGCATCATCATCTCAAACAGCTCCTTCATGTTGGTGTGCTGCTGCGTCTGCAGGCCGTCGTCAGTGGCTGTGGCGCCTGAGTTCATCTCAACCTTCGCTTCTTTGGGCCTGGACGGGTCCAAGCCGACGGAGGGTGGCCGCTTCCTCTGCGGGAACTCTGAGGATGAGGACGAGGATGTTGTCGTGGTCGCGTCAGCTACAGCGAACCCTGAAAACAGACAAAACAATCAGAACTAAATCGATGTCGAATCACGAGAAAATATTAATCAAAAGCCATCAGAGATCCGGGTGCTCGGACTGCACATGGAAAAGCTGATGAGGAACTACTGCAGGCTGCCCAATCAGAAGGAAGCGTCAGTACGAACCGTAACTCTCGTCATCGTCGCTCCGCGTCTCCGTGGTCGTGCTGCAGCCGACCATTTCGGCCACCTGGACCTGAGAGGGCTGTGGGTCCAGGGCCCAGCCGTTGGTGCCGGCTGCCCGGGCATCGATGAACGGATTAAGGAACGACAGGATGGACGAGTATCTCCATGGCCGGTAGTTAAAGAGCCCGATGCCGCTCTCGCGCCGCTCCTTCTCACGCTGCCTCTCCCTCCTGTGCTGGTCTCTCAGCGTCTTCCACTTCCTTCTGCACTCCGACTCTAATGTGGAAAACCACAAGTTTGCTTTAAACCATAAAACCATCAAATCCAACAGTAAAACCATCCTGCTGTGTCCACAACCAGAGACACACAGAGTCACATTAAACGCTTTATTTTACCCTGCATACAAAAACTAAAACTAATCTTTGCTCTAATTTAGTTTATTCTGCAAAAACTAAAACAAACTCCCAAACAACCAAACTATTTTTGTTTGCTTGGTCATATTTCACAGCAAACTTGTGTTTGGACAATATTCAACATTTGAAGCAATTTGACTGAAAATAACAAACAGTATTACTCACATGTGAATTTACTCACGGCTCCAAACTCCTGTGTGACTTTTAGCCAAATATGAATTTCAATCATATTTTTTGCTTCCAACGGTTATTTAAAAAAATGATTAAAAATAATGCAAACAATTAACTAAATAGTATTAATTAAAAGGACAAAAAAAGGCAATAATAAAATAACAACCAATTTTTTTATAAAAAAAAAAAAAATGCAGAATCCAGATAAATTATAAACATACAACAATACAATACAACACATACAATTTACATTATATTTCCTTCCATACATTTATGATTAAACATATTAGGCTGTTTGTTTAAAAAAAATCCAAATAATAAAATTTCCGTTGAATTTTATTTTAAAAGCTTTTAAATATCATAATTTAAAAAGTCAGTAATTTCTATCAGGTTATTATTAATTTGTTTTATACGGTTGTCAGCCAGGCAACTGGCCAGGTTTATATGTTTGTTAAAACATATAATGTTTTAACAAACATATAAACCTGTTTATATGTTTTAATATGTTTGTTAAAACATATAAACCCATAAATAACAAAAGCGTATTAACAGCTCCTTTATTCTGTATTTTATTTTATTTTCCTTTCTTTTCTTCAGCGAACCATAATTTACTGTATTTGAAAGTTTTTAAGTTCAGTTAACAAAGACTGTCTACATGAGTAAAACCTTAAATACTTATTTTACAAACACATATACATATTTGGTCGTCATCACCTTTTTTCCCCAGTTCTGATTACTAGAAAAATCCACTAAGACCAGTTAATTCCCAGTAATTACAATATATGAGTAAAAACCGCTGATTAAAGTTGTCGTAGATTTTCTTACAGTGTTTCTTTCATAAATCTGTGCTGATTATTCTGAAGAGGAACTATTGTGCTGGAGCCGAGAGGCGACGAGCGTCGGAAGATAATAAGGGTCGAACCGTATTTGTTTTGAACTTTTCTCTTTGATGAAAATCTGAATGTTTGACATGTTTTGAAAGTTTTCCGTCTCGCCCACATCGAAAGTGCTCCCGTGTGAGAGCTGAAGTTCGCGCCGGGATCTCGGCGCTGTTCTGAAACTCACCGGGGACTCCGACGATCTCCGCCACCTGCCGCCACGCGTCGCTCCGCATGTTCAGGTCCCGATAGGTCGGGGAGTTCATGTCGTAGAGACTCGGGAAGCCAGAGACCGCCATGATCAGCTTGTATTCCATTCTCCTGTATTTAAAACTCTGGCAGAGCGGAGCCGGACTGGAAAGAAAATAAAAGAACGAATGGGGGAAAACACTACTTCCGTTTCCGGTGCGTCACATCTCATTTGTATAAAAAGTGACCAGATTTCAGTACTTCGTTCACTAGTGGTGTGCGACACTGCATATTTTGGTATCGATCCGATACCAAGTAAATGCGGGCCAGTATCGCCGATATCAATACCGATACTTTTCAATAAATAAGGTGGATACGTCATTGAATTGCTAAATCTCAATTAATTTTTATAACCTTAAGTGTTTTTTGTGATGTTTCCTTTTTTATTATTAAATAGTTAAAACCCAGGACATAATTAGGATAAAGTTTATAATTAAATAGAAAATGCTTTCTTATTGTGGCTGCTCTGCGATGCCACTGCAGGTGAGATGGACTCACCTGCACCGCGTCTACAATCACGCCTGGCAGGCTTAAAACCTGTGCTCTGCTTGTGTTGTTGTTAGTGATGTGTACAGCTGGCGAGCTGCAGCCGTTGTACTAATGTACTGTTAGAGAAATCGTGTGATTATTGTAACGGTGGACAGCGCACGGGAAGGACCGGTTCGGGGCGCGCCAGCGGGATCTGCCAAGCTGGAGACGGAGGTGCGCGGGGGTCCTGCCACACCCGAGGGCAGCGTGCTGTCCGGTCCAGCCTCTCTTCCAACAGAGGCAGCACGCTGCGCTGTACTGCGCGCCGACCGCCTGCTCAGCTGCCTGTGAGCCCCGGCTCACTTCCACGCCTGTTTGCCACATGGGCGGCTACCTGGGGCGCCGATGGTCCGGGCCGATTCCCTTGCCTGCTCGCGGAGGGGGCGAGTAAGTTAGGCTCGGCCTCAGGGGCGAAGGGGGTATGTGGCGGGGTACGTTCTGCGATGCGCTGCAGGTGAGATGGACTCACCTGCGCGGCATCTACAATCATGCCTCGCCGGCGTAAAACCTGTGCTGTGTTGTTGTTGTTGATTGTGATGTGTAGAGCTGGCAGCAGGAAAGCTGCAGCAGAATGTACTGTTACAGCAGCCATGTGATTATTGTAAGAATATATCATGCTGTGAAGCATGAAAATGCCATCAGGTCTGCCGTGGCAGTTTACTTTTCCTTTTTTTTTTTTTTTTTTAAATAAAATTTTTACAGTAAATTGCGCAAACCAGTAACCAAATCAAAACAAGTACTGTTGAGAAACTATAATACAAAATTTACAATTAAAATTCTCAACAACAATAACTGGTAAAAATATAAATAATATGTAAACAACTTAACAACCCCCAACGGGTCTAAGTCACGTCACGTGACAGCGCAACACGTAAACACAAGAGGGGGAAGAGGGAGCAAAGTGCCTCTGCTCTGCGCTGACACAGGAGCAGCGAGTCCAGGGACCTGGCTGTTTCATGCAATGCCATCAATGTGGATTGTCCAGACTGAGAGACCTCTTCCCTCTGACCCCCCTCCCCAAACCCTCAGACCCTCCTACCCACCTCGACATACAAACTCTGTGTGGCTTCACGTGTTCTGTTGATGTTTACATGATCGAAATAACTTGAACACAAACAAAGTGGAAGACCGCACCGGAAGGAAAAAACTACAAGTCCCAGCATCCTCTGTGTTTAGTAGAGTTGGATGTCTCGAGACCGGTCACTTTTACGTGGTCTTGGTCTCGTCTTAGTCTCGACTGACTTTGGTCTCGGTCTTGCGTTCTCAAATCGACATAGTAGTGATGGGTCGTTCGCGAACGAAATGGCTCTTAGAGCCGAGTCTTTGACGTGAACGACGCGAGCCGGGTCCTTATCGCGAGCCGTCACGTGGTTTGTTTTTTTTCTTTCTCTCACCCTCTCTCGCACTTTTTTTCCGCTTCACTCAGCACGCAGCCTTGTGCTTTACGCTGGG